ACCAAATCACCCGTTCGATTCGCCATAGTTTTACTATGAGAAAACGAGATAAATCCGTTTTTTCCTCGGATAATTTGAATAAAAACAAAGAAAATATATGGTAAAGTGATCCAACTTCACAATAGTTGGGGATTTGAAGAAAACAATCTTCAAGATTGGTAATTGAATTTGAAGATGACTTAAATTTGCCTATGTATCCAGAAAAATAATTTAATTTAATTACGAATGAAAGTCATAGACGGCCAAACCACTATAAACTAAAGATTGTTACAAATATAAAATACTAGTCGGGTAAACTACACCAAAGATTACTGAAGTTTAGATTTGTATCAATTTTATCACTTAATTTTAAAATATAAGTATTAGACCGTTAACTCATTAATAACCGATAATACAGTAATTTAGTGTTGATGTGAAAGTAAAAAATTAATTTTTTATTCTATCTTGTAAGCTTCATCGAAATTAAGATTTTTATTTATTTATTTATCAATTTTTAGTTATCATTGAAAGTTGTTATTCTCTTATATCATTTTCGATCAACCTAGATATTGATGAACAATAACAAGCATTCTTTCAAGAAGATAAATAACATATATTAAAACTAGCATCATCAAACAATGATTTAATGATATTAAGTATTAAATCGTTAAACTTTAGATGAATTTCGTCAATCTGAGTAACCAATATGAGAAGAAGAAATATGAATATTTTGATATCAATTTTATCACTAATGATGATTGATGACGGATGACGGTTAATTAATAACGATGATCGAAATAGTTGACAACTATCTATAGAGACTAAAATGATACATAAATTAAAATATAATACCTAAAATAAAACATTTTCAGAATTAATAATAAATTCGATACACCAAACTAAAATTTATTAAAAAAAACACTCACATTATCACGTCATTGTTTATTTAATGGTTTGATGCTTATATTGAGATAGTTTATTGCTAAAAATGAAACATTTTAAAGTTTAATGATAAATTCGATGTAAACTCTAGAATTCTAGTAACATTTGAAGCAGTTTACCCAATATTATATAAAATCAAGGGTAAATTACAAAAATTTACCGCTCAACTTTGACCTCACTCCTATTTTGGTCACTAAATCTAAAAATATAATTTGAAAAGGGCCACCTTAAAACACAATTATTGAGTTTAGAGATAGAGTGATTAAAATATAAATAATTTGAAAGTTGAATGACAAAATTAAAACTTTTTAAAATTTAGTGAACAAAATAGGAATAAATTTAAAATTAAGTGATGAAATTAAAAATTTACCCTAAAATCAAATATTGATATAAATATAAAATACTTTGGATATTATTATAACATTAAAACAAATGAATACATATATGTCATAAATAGTGTCTTTCCAACGGCCTTATCTTCATCTTATCTTGTTTTTTTTTCTAAAATTAATAAAATAATAATAACAATATAAATAATAGATAAAGTTTTGTTACTTTTGAAACCGTAATTTATGCAATTTTCATGAAAGCTTTATATAATTTGAAACCCAGTTTAGATGACATGCAGACGATGATGGCATTTCATCTAACAGCAAAAAACCACATTTTGTTCCGACAAAATCAAGAGAAAAAACATCAATAACAATGTTGTACAAAAACCATGTAATATATATATATAAATTGTATATTTAATTATACATTTTGGAGATATAATCTATTCACATAATATAAAATTTTAATATTTTGTGTGTTTTTAATTGTTAAATGTGTAAAAACATATAGTTAAGATTAAATGTGTAAAAACATAAAGGATGAGACTTTTTTTAAAAATAAAATAAATTATTTTTAATTTAAAATTTTTAATTATAATCTTTAAATTTAATTAATTTAACAATTCAAAGACGTGTATAACTATAACGTTTAAGTGAATATTAACTCTATATTTCATATAACATATAATTTAATATACTAGCTAGCAAACATTATAAGTAACTCGCATCAGTATACAAATTTGATCATATTTCAAATAATTTAATATATAAAACTTAATATGTTTTCTAATTATGGTTAGATGTAAAATTTGTAAATCTCGACTAATTCAGTAAGAATATTTTATATAAGTTTTGATAATATGATTATATGCCACATGTACATATTATGTATAATATATCTTTTCAAAATTATTTTTTTAATAATTTATAAGTTATCATTTTATATCTTATAATATATTTATTTTTAAAAAAATTTAATAGTATTTTTAGAATCTTTAATATATATTTATTTTTAGTTATTTAATTTTATTTTTAGTATTTTTATATTTAATTTTTTGAATATTTTTATATTTTATAATTAAAATAATTTTATCTTTAAAAAATCATTTTTGCCCTTGAACAAGACAAGTAAAATCAATTTAGTCATTCTAACCACTTCATCAGTCATCATGGACCGTCACATCAGCGCTATGAACCGTCATGTAAGCACCATAACATCAACAACATGGATTGTTAGTCAAAGAACCACGTCGAATTTATTTTTTGAATTGAATGATCACATTAAGTGTAAAAATAATTTTCAGACCGCGTTAATTTTTTTTCAAAAGTATGAAGGTCTCGTATAACTCCCCCGAAAATGTATAGAATAATTATGAGGACGGTAGAATATTAAATTAGTAACTCAAATATCAGAATATATCCCTATATATTCATCCACGTCCAAAACTCCATCTCGTTTAGTATGGCAAATTGTACTTGAAATGGTGTTAGATAGAATGTTTATCTTGGAAGCTTGATCTATCTAACACAAAATCAAAGGAGAAGGTGGAAATAATGTGGGAGGTGAAAAAGGTTAGGAGTGTGGAAGTAGGTAAGAAAATAAAATTAGGATGAAAACACCTTCTAGAACCCACGGCCATACCCTATATAATAAGGCCAAATCAGATTTTTATTTGTCAGCAGATTAATTGCTCTTTGGGTCCTCCTCTATTGCTCCCTAAATCAAAAACATCCCTTGGGCCTACAAAAGTGGGCCCTAATTAACTTAAGCAAAGTCCAATTTCCACTAGACTAACCCAAATCGCTAAGATTCACCAATTACTGTCCCTAGTAAACTCTAAATGTTGACTCGGTACTTTCCGAGGCGTTACATTTTATCTCTATGAGGAGAGAGAATAAATAGAAGTAAAGGTAATGTGGTTCATCTAGGTTCTACCATTTATCTTGGCCTTGATCGGGTGCCTTTATAAAAACTTTTGGAGCTACTATAGGGCGTAGATATATAATGACTACTCGTAGTTAGGTGGATGCGGTCAAATGATGATAAATTCGACTCTAACATATTGCGTGGATCTATCATTGATAATGTCAATAGATCACGACTTCTCAATTGATGTTAGATATTCGAAGTTCTTCTTCTAGATATACACTTTCTTTTTATCCTCCGGAACTTCCTAGGTGTCAAAGATTCGAAGATGCTTTCGGATTCTTCGAAGACTACTAGGTGCGAGAAAGGTATGTGAAAGACCTTTAACAGGCACAACATTTGTCCCCTTAGTTGAGGGCATGTCATAAAATGTTTGACCCAAGATTTTATTTGTACATCGTTATTGGTATTTATTAGATTGTTTTAGGGGATCGTCACAATTATTGCTTCTTGAATAATTCAGAGGCTTAAACGCATATTGCCTTCATGCCTTGTGTTCAGTGAGGTGGAATGGCGCGACGTTTCGACTGTTGGTAACCCCTGACCCTTTTTATATTTAATGGGCGAATTAGGGCATCCTCTCCCGTTATTTTTCCTTTTCGTTCTGTTTTTTACTCAACTTTATTTTTACTGTCAGATTTTTGTTAAGGCTTATGTCCTAATATAATTGAGGAAGATTCTGTCGGGAAAGAACAGAAGGCTCGAGATATAGTGCAATGGCATAAGGTAATTGAGAAAGAGCTTCTCATGCGATAACTGAAAGGTTGTCCCTTCTGAAGATGATAACGAGGAACCAGTTGGTGGGCTCTTGGTAAAATTCAGAGGTCATTCACATACCTTTCTCGCACTTAATAGACTCTAAAGGATACATAAGCATCTCCGGATATTCGGCACCTAGGGAGCTCCGAGGGATACAAAGAAAGACATCTTCAAAAGAAAGACCTCGAATATCTAACATTTATCTATCGTCACCCGATCATATACACCTAGTCTGTTGATCTACAAGTAGTCATCATATCCCTACATTTGATAACAACTCCAAGAACCTCTATAAAACCTCTCAACCAAGGCCAAGAGAAATGATGGAACTTGTATAGAATCACCTCACCTTTGCCCCGCTCCATTCTACCTCCCTATGAAGATAAAACACTTTGACACCGATCAACGAACGATTTACCACTAGCTACGACTCTTCGTGCAAATTAAAATCAATGAATTGCCAACAACTGTCTCAACCCATTTAATAATATCAATAATATCTAATTAAAAATAATAATCTGATCTAATGTGTGTGTGTATATATAATGTTTAATTAAAAGTAAAACACATTAATTGTTGTGTTGGTCTTTAGTGCTTTGGATTTTGATTTTAGGAGCAAAGGCTGTGATATTTAGTTTTGTTTAAGATAGAAACCAGTTGAACAAATGGTAACTTCATTTAAAATTTAGGTTAAGAATGTTCTTTTTGACATCCAACAAATTTGTAATTGGAGCCATAAACAACACGCCCTATAAATTCTTCACCCCCGAGCATAACGGATTAATTCAGCTGTTTCATGCACTCATTTTTGATTTCGTTCCAATATTTAAATATCAAATAATTCTAGTTTCGTTAATGGTTCCTTCTGACAGTGCAGGAGCAATGGCAACCAAACTTGAAACTACAATACCCCTAATATTCCGACAATGTAGTCCTTTTTCCGACAGACGAGTTATCTTTGTTTCTAGAAAAAAGACATTATAAATAACAGGGAAACAAAGGGTTTGCACCAGAATAATCTCCATTGTTGAAGAAAAAAAGCTTCCTTCTTTTTTGCAGCAATGGTGGCTCTTGCCGTTGTTATCATCTTGTGCTTAGCTATCATCCATGGTTGCCATTGCAAGGGTCTATTCAACGCGGCGGCGGCTTTACATAAGGCTAGAGATGCTGCGGACGGCATCGTCGTACCCAATGTTAGAGCTTTCAATGTGTTGGAACATGGTGCAAAGCCTGATGGAAAGACTGATAGTTCAATCGTATGTTCTTCTTTTTCTTTATATGTATGTATGTATAATTATGGGCATTTTATGTTGCTTTTGCTGTTGATTCTTCTGCAGAATTTTGTAAGGACATTCGAAGCTGCTTGCAACTTCCATGGAGATGCAATGGTGGTAATCCCTGATGGCGTGTTCTTAATCGGACCTGTTTTATTTTCAGGACCCTGTTTCAATCCATCTTTGTTGATTTTTCAAGTTAATGGAACTGTCAAAGCTCAACATAATATGGCGTATTATCGAGGTGGTGATGGAGAAGACGATACAGATTGGATCACGTTTCAAGACATCGACGGGTTGATTCTTACCGGACATGGCACTTTCTATGGGCAAGGTTCCACGGTTTGGAGGCTCAATGATTGCTCCAGGTCTAACTGCGCCCGTTTGCCCGCCGTAAGCTTCGAATCCCCCGCTTGAAAAGAAAATGTCCGGTTTGGATCACGTTTGAGGTTACATTTTGTTGTTTATGATTGCAGACATTGAAGTTCATCAAGGTAACCGATGCAATCATCCGAGGGATAAAATCAATCGACCCCAAAGGGTTCCACATCATGATCAGCATGAGCCGGAACTTCAGGATTTTCGAGGTTGATTTGCATGCTCCTGAAAATAGCCCCAACACTGATGGCATTCACATGAGCAAATCGGACCTTGTCAAGATATCAAGAACTGTCATTGCTACGGGCGATGATTGTGTCTCAATGATCCATGGATCAACCAATATCAGCATCAAGAAAGTCATCTGTGGCCCCGGTCATGGTTTCAGGTATCTACTTCCTTTTCCGAATTAGATCTCGTTACAGCAATCATGGATTGCATGGGAACCTGTTCATGTTTGATCACAATATTGGTAGCATTGAATCTTTTTCCTGTTAATGGTTGATCACAGTATCGGTAGCCTTGGCCACTACGACGATGAGGCGGATGTAAGTGGGATCGTCGTGAAGAACTGCTCGTTAAGAGAGACAGACAACGGAGTTAGAATCAAAACATACAAAACCAACTCCCCGAGTAAAGCTTCGGGCATAATCTTTCAGGACTTGATCATGACTCGTGTTCGGAACCCCATCATCATAGATCAAGAATATGGAAACAAGAAACACAGTCGGGTTAATTTCCCTTTCTCGATTTTTTTCACAAATTTCCATCAGTTCCTAAGTAACGTTACACGAAGTAGCGACTACTGTTTTAATGTTTTTTCTTGTATTGTCTCGTGAAGTCATCAAAAGTCCGAATCAGTGACGTTCACTACATAAACATCCGGGGAACATCAATCAGCAAAGTCGCTGTCGATCTACTTTGCAGTGCATCTAATCCTTGCCAAGGCATTCATATAGACAACATCAACTTGCAGTATGCCGGTCCTCAGAATGACAACCTGCCATTCAGTTCCAATTGTCGGAATGCCAAGGTCGCTTACCATGGTTTCCAAAGCCCTCCGCCTTGCCATTAGGCAGTTTACAGTGATCCGAAGTGACATTTCTTACTGTCTGAGCCAAGGAATTCATGGAAATACAGAGAATATATGTGAAAAAAAGGAAACAGAAGCAGTAGATATAGCTAAATGTACTATTACTATATTGATGTCAACAACATAGATCTGATCCATTTGTAATTCCCAGATTTTACTGTACAGTAATTCCTAATCCAATTGATACATGGTTTTGATCAACAAATGTTGCTCGTGGCGAAAATTCAAAAGCTTATTCAATCTAGATTTGGAATTGTCGGATATGAATACCTTTAATTCAGAACGAATCATATCACCTCAAGGTTTCAGAAGTATGAACATTAACTTACCAAGGAACAGGGAGATTAAATCTTCGATCCACCGATATGAACCTGAAAACTCGACATTTGCTTCATAGCCTTCAGAATATCTTCAGAAACTCTTTTCCATGCCTCATTTTCTCAAACTAGTCATATCCATCACCCATATTCGACACATTCCCAAACACATATTGTCGTAACCGGTTTTCGTTCGGGCACGAAATTTTTACTTGGCGGGAAAAATAACACGAATAAATAAATGATTTTATTTTAAAATATTTTGGGAGTCGCCATTGACCTTTTGGGTCAGGTAGGTCAAATACCTAAAAACAATATTTTAAAATAGTTTTGAATAAAACATAATTTAAAAGATAAATCTGATCTGCATATAACCAAAAATTTTAAATAAAAAAAGATTCGTGATCGATTACGTTTAGGGAAGGATTAGCATCCCTATAACGCCCAAAATTTGATACTCATTAATTATAATTTGTCTCTATTATTATAAATTTAAATAAAAAATATATTTAATCTATAATTATGTCATTTCAAATTTACTAGTATAATTATAAGGAAATTTATTAATTTTTATATAAATAAGATATTTATTTATTTAGAAATATCAGAAAAGAACTTCTATGTGCTTGAAGACAGCTCTTTTCTTCGATATTAAAAAATAAATATAAATAAAATATTTCTTTAAAAATTAGTATATATTTTATAGGATAAAAATATATCAGAAAACAGACTTCTAGGTGCTTTAAGACAGTCTTTTTCTTTAATATTATTAAAATATGATTATTATATATATATATATATATATATATATTTCTTATTAAAAATAATTTATAAAATATAAAATAAATAAATATTATTTACTATATACATATTTTAATAATAATAATATATTGAAAATTAAATCAACTACTAAAATAAATGAAATTATATATTTAAAACATAAAAGAAATAAAAATTGTAATAAATGAAAAATAATATGACTAAATTATAACATATTAAAAATAAATACCTAATTCGTAATTAATTATTTAAAATTAGAGTGACTAAACATGCTATTCTCCTTATTAATTTAGTGACTAAACTAAAATTATATAAAATTCATATATCAAATTAAAATAAATTGAAATATGTTGTTCGGGGTTTAAAATATTAATTATTGAAATTAAAGGACTAAATATGTCATTTACCTAATATATATTGTTTTATGTAAAGGACTAAAATGAATATATGTAAAATTCGAATACCGAATTAAAAGGATCTAAAATTTACTTTAGTGACTAAAATGTAAGATTACATGACTGTGATGGCAGCGGGTATATTTTACCCTTTTACCCAAAAAGCATAGTTATACCCATGAAACGACGTCGTTTCATACTGAGTATAAATACCTTATAACCAGCCGGCCCTAAGTGTCATTTCTCATTTGCTTCTCTTCTTTCTCTCTCTAATCTGAGAGAAAAATTTTCTCTCTACTCTCTCTTCAATCCCCTCACCGGAGGAACGTGCTCCGGCTGGCAGCCGCTCTCCGGCGCCGATCACCACCACCGACCACCGTCAATGGTGGCCGAAATTCCTAAATTACTCTAAAACGTAAGTTTTGACCTCCTAATGCCGAATATGGCCTTTGTTTTCTTTAAATCCCCTTAAATTTCCGTAGATCTAGGAAAACCGAAGCTTTTACCTCGGTTAAAACAATGTCTCCGGCGACGATTGGGCTCTCCTCGGTGGTAAGTCCCTCGTTCTTGCTTTATTTTCTCTTGGTTTTTAGTCTTTGTTGTTGTCGTGTGGTTGTACTTGCCCGCTTCTGGTTCCTGCCTTGTTGGTCTCTGTTGCCTCTGTTCTTGCTTGCTGTTTTGGTTATTTCTCCTTGGATTCTTCCTCTCTATTTTTTTCAGGTTTGGTGGTGGCTTTTTATAGCCACCACAGTGCTCGGATCGGACCAGTCCAAAGGGGGAAGCTTCGGTGAGTCACCATAACTATGGTGGTGACTCACCATAGGGCTTCAACGTGTGTGGCTTCGTGGCGCTTTTGGAGCATTCTGGCGAGGTGGTGTCATGGCAGCAAGTCGTCGACAGTTGTTAGTTGGATCACCTGGCATTGGAGCATCGGCAGTGGCTGTGGATAGCTGAGGCGGCGGCAGCTGGGGGTGTAAACCCTAATTAGGATTAGGGTTACACATTTGGGTCGGGTTTTTTTGTTGGGCCATCAGATTTGTAATTGTAAATGGGCCCGTATAAAATTAATAATAATACATAATAATTAATTAATAATAAAAAAATAATAATCAAATAAAAAAAAACTAATGTCTTCACATATACGATAATACAACTTTCTGATTATGTTCCAAATATGTTAAAAAGGTTTCTAAAAACTTAAATATATTCGTATTCAACACTCACACATGAATCCAAACCCGAATCTAAACCGACTAGCACAGTGAGAATTTACTTGACGACAGTGCAAATTTAAGATAATTTTCCAAGGAATGAAGATCATAAACTAAATTGCAATGTAAGGCAATTAACATCACAAACTTCAGGCCACTGAAACTAAGCAACTCTGCCATGAACTTTTACAACTACAAACAAACATCACAAAATTTCAACAATCGATCCACAGCATTGCTATGGCATTCATTAAATCAAATCAAATAGTTACAAGCAACAGTGGGATTCGCTGGTAAAATTGCTATAAAAAATTATAAACAACCAAGTATATGTACAGAACTTGAATTTGATATATATATATATATCAAAAGAAGAGATTTTAACAATAACCATTGATCTTCAAATCACCAAACTGATGTGAGTCACATCGGAACCTTCCCTCTGTCGTCGGCTTCATCGATCCCGTTCGCTACAATTCTAACCATCTTCTTAAACGCGAAATGAACACAATTCGACAAAGCGATCCATGAAATCACCTCGTATACAAAATCTAGAGCTGTACCCGTCCACGGAGACGGAGATTCATCCCAATTCTGCTCTCCAAACCCGCCAAAATTCCAGCCACCACCACCCCAACCGCTCCCTCCGCTCTTTCCGTCGCCGCCGTCACTACCAAATAAGAATCCATAATCTTCGCCGTCGTTGGAGTCGTCACCAGTGAACAACTTCCGCTTTGTGCGGCGCTTTCTTCGAAGGAGAGTTCGAGGTAATGTCTTATAGGAGTTGGGCTTTACAGGAGGAGGTGCGACGGCGTCGATGGGGACTATTCCGGCGGTTACGTGGAATATTCCTAGATTACCGGCGGGTGAATCGGAGGAGAGGTAAAGGCAGCTATTTGCAGCCAAGTAAGGGTGACGATCGAGGATTAATTTCGCAAATCCTAGTCCTTGGCAAGTGGCAACAGTTAGGGTATCGCAAATTAACAAGAGATCCATTGGGTTAAATAGCAATTGAAATTAATTTAACAAAAAATTAGGGCTTTTGTGCGAAATTGGGGAAGGAAAATTTGGGGATTTTTGCGTAGTGAAGGTGGAGGACGTTAGAAGAATCGAAAGAGAAAACGCAACGTGTATTTATTTGGTCATTTGGACGAGCGTTTGAATTTTGACGGTGGTTTTAGTTTGTAGGGAAACTGAGTCAGATTAGTACTCTAATCAATCAAATCATTAATTTTAGGTTTAATTGATTCTATTAATTAGAGGGTAATATGTGCAAATGATTATTAATATTTGTGTAAATTTTCGTGTTTTATCACTGATGTTTTAAAAATATAAATTGATCACTAATATTATTGTTTGTTATAAATTGGTCACTCGACGTTAACAGTCTTTAACAGACGTGATAGGAAACACAACTGACGTGTTAACTGCTTACATGAACTAGATTGACCGCCATGTTAGAGACCCAAAAACCTTCAATAGTCACCTCTTCTCCTTAAAAAAATTACAATCCCTAAACTTAATTTATGATTTTTCATTCTTATCTAAATTTTTTTTAAAAAAATCTAAAAATTATACGAGAAGATAAATCATGTTCAGTTTTGTAATTGTGGATGCCCAGTTAAGGGGTTTTTTTTTTTCATTTTCTATCAAACCCAAAAGAATATTTTTTATTTGCAACTGTGGAAGAGAAATTGTTTTTCTCTCATACGAATTGAAGAATAAGAAATGTGTTTATGGAAGAATAAGAAATGAGTTTATGGAAGAAGAAAAAATGGGTTTATGGAAAAAGAAGAAACATGTATATGGAAGAAGAATCAATGAGTTTATGGAAGAAGAAAAAAAAATTCATTGAATAAGAAGAATGGTTCAGAATATTAAATAAAACCCTTGATTTCCCTTTATTAATTAGGATAAACTATATAGTTGGTCACTAATGTTTGAGTAATTTTTTCATTTTCCCCAATGAAGTTTAAAAAACGAGGCGATCAACCTAGTCTATGTAAGCAGTTAGCGCGCCAACTGTGTTTTCCGTCACGTCTGTTAATGGATGTTAACGTCGAGTGACCAATTTGTAACAAACGATAATGTTAGCGATCGATTTGTGACTTTTGAAACATCAGTAGTTAAAACGAAAACTTACTCAAATATTAGTGATCATTTACGTAGTTTACTCTTAATTAAATTATCAGTTAGTAATTTTGAGTAAAATAATTTAAAATTAATATAAAAATTTTAAGGGTCAACTGTACATTTAGTATATCAACTATCATTTTTTCTATTTTAGTCACTTAATTATTTTTTTCAAAATCATATATAATATTTAGTTTTAATTTTATTTTGATCATTTTCCGCTTATAAATTAACGGTGTTGCTGGTGTGCCACCATAAGATAATATCACATGATCATTGAAAAATAAATCAATAAAATCATTAATTTTTTTGTTTAATTGATTCTATTAATTAAAATACCGGTTAGTAATTTTGAGTAAAATAATTTAAAATTAATATAAACATTTTTAGGGTAAATTGCATATTTTAGTATCCCAACTATCACTTTTGTTCTATTTTGGTCGCTTAACTATTATTTTTTAAAATCTTACATAACATTTGATTTTTTACTTTTTAATAATTCTGTTTTTATGACACGCTTTCATCGACCTTTATGATACATTTTTCTTTCTCTTTTGGCATACCTTCGACCTTTTGGCCCGTAGTTTTTATTTATCTTTTTTCTCAGGATTGGATTTAACATTATCATGACTGATCAAGATGATACTTATTGTACATGCTTTGAACTCTTATATTAGATTTAGATACATGATTTACGTTCGTGGATAATTTTCTTAGGTCACTCAATTTTGATTTGCAATTCGTCAATGATCTTTCAATAGCTTAATTCCCTTTTGTGGTTTATTTGTCGATGTGATTAGATCTGTTCATATTTATATTTTATTTGAATTTTTTTATTATGTTTTTTTAACATTTTTCTTGTATTGTTGTGTGATTTAAATGATTAAATTTTTACGCCAATAGTTATAATAAAATATCTTAATTATATATTTAGTTCATTATTATAATTATAAACCTTCATCGTAATTCGGGATATTCTTTTTCTTTTAAAAAAACATTGCATTATGGAGAATCTTACTTAATCTCAATAACTAACAAACTGGGCTAACCGGGATTGTCTCAGGAAAGGCGGGTTAATATACGGCTAATATACAGCATTACCGGATACATTAAAATGTATTTAATAAATTCAGTTTAGCGGTACCTATTATGTTGACAACTAATAATGTTTTAGGTAGAAAATATGAAAAACTATTAAAAAATTTGGTAACCGGTAAACTTTGGTTATCGGTAAGTATCTATCCTTTTTATAAAAGTGTCCATACGTTTAACATATCAAGTAAATTTTACCGGTTTTGTCATAATGAATCTGGTTTTGTCATATTTTTACCTGTTATATTGTAAATTATCTATCCTTTTTATAAAAGTGTCCATACTTATTTCACTGTGAAAATATATTTATTATTATCTTTAGTTAATATTGTTAAATTTAAAATCTAAATAATATTTTATAAAATATCAAAACAATCAAATAATTTTTTGTGTAAATGAAATTATTAAATTAATATTGTAGGTGGAAAACATGAAACACTATTAAAAAAATTGAAACATAAATTACATAACTTTCAAAAAAGTATATATCATTTTTATAAAAGTGTCCATACTTATTTCACTGTTGAAAACATATTTATTATTATATTTGGTTAATATTGTTAAATTTAAATTCTAAATAATATTTTATAAAATATCAAAACAAACAAATAAAATTTTGTGTAAATTAAATTATTAAATTAATATTGTAGGTGGAAAACATGAAACACTATTAAATAAATTGAAACATAAATTACATAACTTTAAAAGCAGTTTTAAATCCTAAAAAGTGTCGATACTTTTAAAAAATATATTGATCCAAAACGATATACCAGGTAAAATATGATAAACCGGTAACAAAATGATAAAACCGGTAAATTTAAAAGTGTCGATACGTTATATAAGGATCGACACTTTGTGAATTTAAAAGAGAAGCAGTTATAGCGCCTATAATGTGTCGATACTTTAAAAAAATATATCGATCCACAACGATATAACAGGTAAAAATATGATAAAACCGGTAACAAAATCATAAAACCGGTAAAATGATACCGGATATATTTAAAGTGTCGATACTTTCGTAAGTACGTGTAATAAATTATCGACACTTTCAAAGAAATAGGTAATTATCCTTTCGAAAGTATCGACACCTGACATAAAAGTATCGACACTTTTGTATTTGTATCGATTAAATATAAATAACATATCCGATGAAAATAAAAGGCCATAGCTAAATATCCTCTGAAAAAAGATAGAACGGACGAGTTTTTGAAATCGAAGAGTAATTGTTGCTGCATTTCAGAAGGCGTTTCTAAAGCGAAGTTTGTTTGTTTGTTGCTGCAGTCGAATCGAAAAGTATGTTGTCGAAACCCTAATTTTTTATTATTACAGTAATCGCGATAGGGTTTTTTATGTGTTGTTGGGGTTTTGGAGTAAGGAAGCATTTGGGACCGATTACAGGTAGAAATAGATATTCAAGGAAAAATATAAATGTCGATACTTTTATTAAATATTATAGGTAGAAAATGATATTATAGGTTGTATAAATGTGCCGACACATTTTGGTGTGGCCATTCAAATTCTTTTGAAGAAAACCGTTTTACCACAAGAGTAGTTATCTATATTTGTATATTGAAAAGTGTATGTAACAAAATAATTTGATTTGCGTAAACTGATATATGAAGGAAAAATGGAGTCAATGGGTTGGAAAATTGTTGGTGGAGCAGATGACTTTGAAATTGAGGCCGAGACTCGAAAGCAACCAAAGGGTGGATATATGTACTTCTAGTAAGTATCAATGTCTTTTTGTTATTATTGTTGAAATGGTAATTGGATTAAAGTATCGATAAACTTTAAATTGATTACAAATTTTAAATGTTAACAGTATGGCCGAATGCAAAAGGATGAAGGGAGATGGCACACAGAGCGGTTCGGTATGTAAAATGAAATTGACATTGAGTAGTATTAGTATTTAGTGTTAATGTATTGATTAAGAAACGTTTATGTTTAATATTAGGTGAAAAAAGATGTGAGGTCCAAATGGAATTCAATGAGTGATGCTGAAAAGGAACCTTACATCACACAGTCAAGGAATGATAGTAAAGAATACAAAGAACGGAGGAAAGCACATGAAAATAAGGTATTCATTAAACTTGTAAATACGTTGATACAAAATATATAAGAACTATAACATTATATATTGTTAAAAAATGTAGGAAGTGTCGACAATATGCAGCATTAAAAGGGTGAATTTATTAATTAAACACCTTAAGGAGAAGGGTCAGTTGAATGTGCTGGGAGAAATAGGTTTTGGATCGTTGATCGGAGTAAGGGATCGACCTATTCGGAGGGAATTGTGTCGATCCTTGATGGCACAATTTGACGTCAGTCAATGTATGGCTAAGTATGGTGATTATTCATTCCCTCTGGGGGTATCGACTGCTGCAGCCGTATTGGGGGTACAAAACAAAGGCAAAAGTGTTATAGAAGTCTGTAGGAGTAAGAACTGGAAAGCACTTGCCTCCAAATATGGTTTGAATCATAAGGTGACATATACTGAAGTTGAAGAGGATATCAAAAGTGGATCTTACTTGGGGGATGAGCTGAAGGCCCGAGTTCTATTGTACCTTGTCGGGATATTTCTTTGTCCAACGGGTGATATGTCAACGAACAAGGAATATATGAAGCTCATTTGCGATGAAGGCTTGAAGGGTGAATTCAATTGGGCTGAATATATCCATTCGAGATTGATTGAATCAATAATCACCTTTAAAAAGGGCAGCCAGAGATACCTCAAAGGGTGCATAGCAATCTTAGAGGTAAATGAGTTGAAT